AGATTATTGGCCAGGGTTAATGATGTCATCCATATGCTCTTGCTACATGCCCTGCTTCCCTATTGGATCAGTATTAGCTAAGTGGCTATACTTGTAATCTTATTGGTTGGTTATAGTTTGACCCCCATTGTACCCGCCTCATGATTTTGTCCTATAAAACATTCTCTTGGAGAAATGACCTTGGGAGCAACCCATTGGGAACTTCTGTCTCTCAAGAGTTATTCCTAGTCCCCAGGAAACTTTTCCTCCTCTTAATCTCCTTTTTCTTTTGGAATTCATTCTTCAATTTCTAGGCACCTCAGCTGGGCACATCTGACATCTAGCAGGTTGGAGGCTGTAGCTGTCCTGTATCGGAGGCCGCTGCCCTGGGTGTGGGCAAGAAGTGGGTGCGCTATCTGCTGAAAATTTAGAAATAATTCCCAAACCAGTCTTCTGTCGTTATAGTGTGCCAACAATTGTACAACAACATCAGAGGCAAAATGCACCTCCCCATGGTACAGGCCCTGCCCACCACACTGCTCCACACACGGGGAGTCTAACCACACACAGAAGCAGCCTAGGGGTCTCCCCTTCCCTCCAAGGGGAAGTGCTTGCCTCACTTTCCTCAGGGTGGGGGTGAGAGCTGCTGGCCCCCAGTGTCCAGGGCCTTGGCATGTGGGGTCCTCGGCCATTGGTTGGCCCACTGACAGCCTAGTGTGGGTTTGCAAACTGAACACTTGTAGGCAACCTCTCGGCTCTCTTTATGCCCCTGTGCTTGAGCCCCTTGGCAGTTGCTGGTGCCAGTACGTGACTCCTGTTCCTCATCCCCACATTTTCCATCCTTAAAGAAAATTGTCAGCCGGGTATGGAGGTGCACACTCATAACCCCAGCACTGTGTGAGGCTGAGGCAGGAGGATCTCAAATTCTAGCCCAGCCTGAGTGAAGCCTTGTCTCAAAATAAAAAATAAACAAAAAGCTGGGCGTGGTGGCTCACCCTTGGCCTGTAATCCCAGCACTAGGGAGGCTGATGCAGGAGGATCGCTGGGCCACGCAGTGAGTTCCAGGTCAGTCTCAACTAGGTAGAGAGACTCTGTCTCAAAATGCAAAAAATAAAAATAAAAAAAGGCCTGGGGTTATGTGAAGGCACTGGGTTCAATTCCCAGTATAGGGGGAAAAAAAAACAAACAAAAACAAGAAATGAAAAATGTTTTTGGATTTCATGGTCATTCTTAGGCTTAATTAACTAGCCTGAAATCTTCCCTGATCTCTGATTTTCCTTTATTCTCTTCCTTTCTGAGGACTTCTATTAGTTTTACTTGGGAGTGTCTTTGCTTTGGTTTTTTGAGTCTCACTGTAGTTTAGAGTAGCCTTGAACTCACTATGTAACCCAGACTGGCCTCAAGCTGCTAGCCGATCTCACACAGCACAAATGGCTCCTCCTGAAAACCACAGGGTGAAACACTTTTTGTTTTGTTTTGTTACCGGGGATTGAACTGGGGTCCTTGTGCTCGCGAGACAGGTGGCGGAACCCCTGAGCTAAATCCGCGGCCCACAAAAGCACACTTTTGAGGAGGAAACTGATGGCGCATTCCAGATGGCCCACGTGTCCTCTCCTGTCTCAGCTCGCTGAACTGACAGCTCCTTGTCGTCTTCACCCTCCTACTGTTAGGCAGCACGTTCCTCCTTTGGTGGAAGCTTTGTCGCCTTGACCTGTAATTTGTAGCCTGTAATTTCATCTTCATCCAGAAACTTTAATTCCCTCTTCCTATAACAGTAAAGCCCATTTCCTTAAGACTTCTTTGATTATCTTTGCATGGTTTAACCTTAAATTCTTGCGTTTCTCATATGAACCCCCAATGTGGATATAAGCAGTACCGTTTTATCCACTGCATTGTCTGAAGGTGAAGCAGACACACACACATTTGTATCTCTCTGTTCTCCAGCATGGGGCCATCTTGATTCCTTGTTGTTCTGAGGAAGTCTCACACCGTGTGGCCCAGGCTGGCCTCGAACTCTCAGTGATCCTCACACCGTGCTCAGCGTTCACATCCACTCCCATTTGTCTTTCATCTCCTTTGCCACCCCAGGGCCGTTGCACTGAGCTTCATCTTCAGCCCTTTTAAATTTTGCTTTATTATGAAAAGCTCATGAGACTGCTAAATTTCCCAGGCCAGGCTTGGACTTGCAATCCCACCTCAGCCTCCTAGAGGGCTGGGATTATTGCATGCACCTCCACGCCTGGCTGAAGATTTTCTTTGTCCAGCTTCCTCTGCATTCCTAGCATTGATTTCTTGTGCATTTGTAAGAGAGCTGAATGGCTCAATAGAAGAGTCTTAAGTGACAGAATAGGGGGCAGTGAATCCCGCGGTGGCCTTGGGGAACCTTAAGTGATCTTGACTGAATCCCCCCCCCCGCGGGGGTCAGCTCTCTGTTGTCGGGAAGAATCCATTTTTCCACAGAGATCTCGGGTGTCACACGTTTGTCTCTGTGTGCATCACGTGTCACTTACACTTGTGTGAACCTAGGTGCCATGGTCCCTCGCACCCCCACTCCGGTGTACATATGGCTGTATGGTACCTGTAGACTGCGCATATATATTAGCTACGATGCCGTGAAGAGAACAGTGAACACGAGATTATGGGGCTGCTGCCAGTGTAACACGGCACTTTTAATAAATTTGTTTTTAATAAGCAGAAGGAGCACAGTCTAAAATGATGATGATGATGATAATGATGATGATGATAGTGATAAGGGCTGGGCACATAGCTCAGCCACAGGACATTTGCATGTATATGGCCTGGGTTCAATCCCTAGTACTAAAAAAAGAAAGTGCTGGGGATATAGTTCAGTGGTGCTACCACCTTCCTCGAAAGCACAAGGTCCTCAGTTCGATCCCCAGAAACAGACAAACAAACAAAGTATACGATAGTAAAGAGCTAAGCCAGCAACATCGTTGTTCGTTATCATTATCAAGTATTATATACTCTACACAATCGCATGTGCTATGTTTTTGGGTGTGGGCGACCTGCTTTCACAGCTGCCAGGATTCACAGCCTCTGGGAAACTGGGGGAGATGCAGCCTGCTGTCTGTGTCCCTAAACAGTGACTGTGTAGACCGGACTGCCGCCTGCCGGCCCCCCGGCCCCTCTCTAACCTGCTCTGCACCCTCTGCTGCACTGCAACCCCTCACACCCTGAACTTCTCGGAGCTTTCCCTCCACCACTGTCTGCTTTTGCTGAAACTGAACTCTCCCTGGAGGGTACCGCCCTCTGCCAGCCTCTGAAATGAGAGCTGTTTATTTTCTTCTTGGTGACCATCCTCTGCTCCTGATTGCAGCCTCCAGACTCCTCCTCCCCTGACCCCCAATTCCTGCTTAAAATAGCCTCTGTCCCAAGGCACAGCCTTTTGTTCTGACAGACGGTTTCACTAGGTTGCCCAGGCTGGCCTAGCACTTGCAGCCCTCCTGCCTCGGCCTCCCTCCTGCCTCCCGCTGAGATTCAGGTGTGCACCTCCACAACTGGCTCAGGTGTTAAACTGTCCTCTCCCCTTCTCATGCTGTCTCCTGCCTCTTGCCAGCCCTGTCTTCCTCACTCAGGGGACGCTGGCACCCGCTGCCTGTCCTCTCATCGAGTCTTCCCGCTGGGCAGCCTCACTGTCTGCGTGGAGGGCTCTTTGTCCCCGAGGACCTGGTCCACTCCAGCTCAGCCTCTAGACGTGACCACACCCCTGAGCTTAGCACTGGAAGGAGACCTCCCTGAGGACATTCAAATGGCCTGTGTCCCCCTCGTCTCCCTACCCTCTTTCCGGTCTGCTCCTGCCGGTCGGTCTCCCGGGGCCTGAGGATGAATGTGCCCCCTGCCCCACGCGTCGGCCCTCCCTGTCCGGCATCCACTCCACAGCCCTGCGTGTCTGGGTGCTCTTGCCGTTGTCCACTTCCACGCCCTGTGCCTTCCCAACCTTGGCTGGGTTTGGCAAGACCTCACCCCCTGCTGAGCTGGATGATCTGTTTCCTTCCTTACTCTGTCAGCGTAGAAATTTTGGGGACATCACATGAGCAGGAGGTGGCCACTCCTCCTCATCCAGGGTCCTCAACAGCCAGGGGGCGCCCGGCACAGCCCAGTCAACGACCGCATCACTGCCGCCCCCGCTCCGCCTTCCCTCAGCTCATGCGCAGTGGAAGATTTCACTCTTCTGTCACGGGGAAAACCGCAGCCCTCAGAGGTGACTCCCACCTGCTCCCCTGCACCCCTCACGCCTGGCCCGCCTCCTCCAGTGTCACTATTCTGTACACGTTCAAATGACAATTGTTAAGTCTGTGCTAAGTAGTTAAGGGTTAGACATACGATGACAGTTGTATTACATTTCAATTTGCCTGTTTTTAAAAATTTGTTTGTTTTGTTTGTTTTCAGTGCCAGGGATGGAACCCAGGGTCTCACACATGGTAGGCGAGTGCTCTCCCACTACGCTGCTCCTTCGGCTCTTTACATTTTCATAGGCTTTTTTGTTCTGTGTTGTGTTGCTTGAGACAGGGTCTCGCTTTGTCACTGTGATCCTCCTGCCTCAGCCTCCCTAGGGCTGACATTGTAGGCGTGCACACCATACCTGGCTCTATGCTTAAAAATGGTCACATTTCTTTCTTACTGCCTTGGCTTCTACTTACTGCTCACCCTTTTCAGGATGGTGTCTCCCTCTGCTGTGTTGCACCCACGTTTTTGCAGTGATTCTTGTGTCGTTTTGTCACCTCCTCTTCCTGGAACTTCCGCTAGTACCCGGGGTTAGGACTGACTTTCCTGCAACACAGCCTTGGTTCCGAGGGCCTGCCACGCCCTGCCTCCCTCCCGTGCCCGGCTGCCCCCCGTTCTGCTCTCCCTGCCCGCTGTGCTGTCCGGGGAGGGTGCTCCATCCTGGGCCCCCCTCATAGGGCGCCCTCCAAGGGTTCACACCTGCCCCATGCTCCGGCTCCTGCCAGCCGATTCCTCCCACATTCACGCCCCTCTCTGGTCTCCAGGCTGCAAGTCTGAGCGCCCTGCTGGGGTCCCCATTTCCACATCCCAAAGACGTCACAGACAGCCTGTCGTGCGCATCTATTAGATGGCACGGGGGTGCCTCGGCCACTCCACTCGGGGTCTGCACAACCTGGGGCCGCTGGGCCCCGGGGAGCAGAAAAGTGATGATGACCGAACTCTGTGAGACTTGGAGGTGGCGCCTCTGCGGGACTCTGAAGCCCACGTTGCCTTGAGGTGTGGGAGGATTTAAGCAGTGGAACAGTTAGGTAAGAGGGAAAATGCAACTTTAGTTAGCTTGTCAAATGTTACCTCTCAAATTGCATGATAAAGCGTCATATCCCAATGGTGCTGAGTGTGTTTTTCCTTTTTGTTTTTTTTATTATCTGTGTATACATTTTAGTAAAATATAGCTCAGTGGCACTGCACCTGCCTCGCAAGCGCAAGGTCCTGAGTACTGGGGGTTAATGTTATAATATATTTAGATAGCACAAATATTCCTTTTTTTTTTTTTTTTTTTTTTTTTTTTTTT